ACCCCTGACCGAGTAACCCCTAACTAAGTAACTCAAGTAACCCCGATCACACGGTATGACTAGCTACATATAAAAATTTGTAATTCGTGAATGGATCATCTTTCCCATTTCTTACCAAAACTACTACTCGTAGAAAATAATGTCATAGTTATTTCGTTGTTCAATTGGGTTTTTTTGGGTAGTTAGAATCCTCCTTGTAGCTGAGAATGGAATACCACAATAAGCTTTGCTATCGAATTACACATAGGGCATGTTCTAATTCATTGTACTGAACTAATTGGAGCTAAAATGAACTGAACTGAATTGAACTGAATATTTTATGAGAGAAGGAAATTAAGAACTGAAGTGAACTGAACTGAATATTTTATGAGAGAAGGAAATTAATAAATGAACTGAAATAAACTGGATTGAATTGAACTTATTGAATTGAACTTATTGAAGCTGAACTGAACTGAACTGAAAATAAGCTGAAAAAAACAGGCCCATAATCTAGAAAAATGGAAACAGATATTTGGCAATTGCACCACCTAATTTGTTTATAGATGATTGTGTTTTGGAAATTCAACCAAATAATCTCATCAGAAAATGCATTATCCTCCAAACAAAACCGTGAGAAGGTCGGTCAAACAATTGAAAATTTATGAGACTACGTCGGATAAGTTTTTGTGTGAGAATAGCTTAGATCAAAGAAATTGGGAAGAAAGATTTGGAGAGAGGAATGAAAAAGAAAACGAGTGAAATCATTCTAAGGCTTTTATTTTTGGATAGAAAATGGGGATGTATTCAATTAACAAGTTAGCATAGTGTACTACTCTTTAGATTGCAATTTGTAATTTACTTACAAATTTTCTTTTATAAAAAAGAAATAGTTTATACCAAGCTAAGCCTTGTCTAGTTGTAAGTAGGGCTGTGCACCGGTCCAAAACCGGACCGGACCGGATCGGGACCGGAATAGACCGGAACCCGGAATCGAGTTTTATTGGGGACCGGGACCGGACCGTAATCAACCGGTCCGGGTTCCGGTCTAGACCTTTTTATTCCGGTTCGGTCCGGTTTTGGACCAGAATGGACCGGTTACATTATTTTTTTATTTTTTTTTCCATTTTAGTATCTTAATATATACATATATTTTTAACGTCTTGTTTTTGTTTGCGTGTTTTCCTATTTTACACCTAGAATTTATAAATTACAAGTTTTGTACCTATATTTTTTAGAAATTTAAACATAAAATTTAAAATTTTCACCCAAAAAATTACAAAAATACACATTCCGGTCCGGACCGGAATATTCCGGTTTTTACCCGGACCGGACCGGAAACCCGGAATCCCTAATTTGTGAGGACCGAAGACTGAACTGGAATCAACCGGTTAGGGCCAGTCCGGTCCAATTCTGGTCCGGTCCCGGTCGGTTTTCCGGTCCAGGTCCATTCCTGCACACCCCTAGTTGTAAGGATTGTCACCTTTCCAACCTTGAGGTTGGGAGTTCAATCTCCACTAGAGACAATTTGAGGATGGAGATTCTTTACCCTTTCTCCTCACTTTTAAAGTGTTTTGACCCTTATATGCTCAAAACAGTTCTATTTACCTATAACTTGTTAACCTAGTAATAAAAAAAATATTCTATCTTTCTCCTCCTACATCCCCACCTAGACCACCTCTTCCATGGAAAAAAACCTAGACGACCACCACCCTTGCATAACCACCACCTCATCAGTCATCAAGACCACTACACCACCACCTGATCCAACCACAAAAGTACAAAATCTCACTACTAGAAAACAGCTGAATTCCGACGGAAAATTTCCATCAGAAACACCCCATTTTCCGTCGGAAACCCCCCGTTTTCCGTCGGAAGCGGTTGTCGCAATATGTGTTGTCGTAAAAATGACCTATTCCGACGGAATTTTCGCCGGAAAAGGGTTTTCCGACGGAATTATTTCTGTCGGACGGCATATTCTGGCCGGGAAGTCCGTCGGAAATTCCCGACGAATATGATTCCGCCGGAAAATTCCGACGGAAATTCCTTCGAAAATTCTATTAAAAAAACAAAAAAAAACTGCACCCCTACCCAGAACAACCAGCCTCCACCTAGAACCACCACCCCCACCCGGAACCACCAGCCTCCACCCAGAACCACCACCGCACACCGACCCCAACCACAAACCCTTATCCCACCACAACCGACACAAACCTAGTAAATTAAACACCACCACCACAAACTCAGTAAATTAAACACCACACACCACCACCACAAACCCAGTAAATTTAACACCACACACCACCACCACAAACCCAGCAAATTAAACACCAAAAAACGAAAATTAAACCCATAAACGCGAAAATCAAACCCCAACAAAACGAAAATCCCCCAAAATTGAAAATTAACACCAAAAAAAAAAATTAGCCCATAAATCTAAAAATTAACAACAAAATCGAAAAATTCATATACAATTATTTAATAAAATTCATAAATTTACATAACAATTACAAAAAAGTAACTAGATCTACAATCTAACCTAAATTAAAACTAGATCTACAAAACAAAAACCTTGAGAGTGGGTGGCTCGAGACGGTGGTTGTCGACTTTGTAATTGTTGTGTCGTTGTTGTTGCGGGTTGGTGTTGTTGCGGGTTAATGTTGTGGCGGTCGTCGTTGTTGTTGCGGGTTGATGTTGTGGCGGTCGTCATTGTTGTTGCGGGTTGAAATTCTGAATCACTGGTGGCTGAGCGTAGAACATACGATGCAGATCTTCAAGAATTTGAAAGATCTGAAGGTGAAGAAGGCGGATTCGATGAATTTTTGAGGAAATACGTGGCTGATAATGATGAATACTCTGATACGAAAGAGATTTATGATGACAAATTGACAATAAGTTGAAGATCTTGAAGGATTTAATCAAGAAAATTAATCTCTGTACCAAGTATCGTGAATTGCACACCACGAATTTATGAGGGAAAAGAGAAATGAGAAGAGAAGAGGAGAGGAAATGAGAGAGAAATAGGGTTGAAGGAAAACCAGAAATGAGAAGAGATGAGAGAGAAGGGAAAGAGAAATAAGAGGCGGAAATAAGAGTAGGGGGAAAGAGAAATAAGAGGCGGAAAAAGATAGGGTAGGGTTTTTGGATATTTTTTTTAAAAAAATTATTATTCCGACGGAAAGTTCGTCGGAAATGGTACTTTCCGACGGAATTATTTTCAGTCGCAAATTTCCAACGGACTTCTGACGAAATTCTTAAATTCGTCGGAAATATCCGACGGAAAAGAAATCCGTCGGAATTTTCGACTTTTCCGACGGAAAAATAGGTCCGTCGGAAGCAGTCCATCGCTATTTACCTGTTTTCTAGTAGTGTCTTAACCTCGCCTACAAAACTTAACCCACTTCATTTAGTCCGACAAACCCCCCTACCATACTCCCTCACCTGAACCCAGGACTTCATCGATTTTCACAAAACAAAAGACTATAAAATTTCAATTTGCTAATTTTATCATGAACAAAAACAATAAGATTCATACCCATTAATCAAATTGCACAAATGACAAAACATTTTCCAATTATTTATTTATTTTTTTTAAAGTAAAAGTAATCTGTATTGATGAAAGTTAACAGCAAAGGGGTTTGGGGAAAGGGTTGTTGTTTGTCATAGACTCATAGGGAAGGGGTTAGGGGTTGGGGTTAATCGTCACTGGGAAACGGGGTTAGGGGTTGGGGCTTCCGTTCATCAACAGAAAGAAGTTAGAGGTAAGGTGTTATTCATTGATGGGAAAAAAGGGTGGGACTTTGCCAGCGGGGAAGGAAGCAGGGCTGGCAAGGATGGGGAAGGGCGGCTGGGACCGTCAGGAGGAGGGGAGGAGCTCCAGCAGGGTAGCTAGGTTCGACAGGGGGAGGGGAAAGCTCCGGCAAGGAGGTAATTTTTTTTTTTTTTTTTAAAAGATCCGAAGGGGAGGTAATTGGGGAAGAGGGATGAAGACATTTTTTTAGTTATTTTTTTTTAAAAAACCAATCATAAGGTGACACATGGCAAGCCACTTTCTGAAACCGGTTACTAATTTCACAAATCGTTAAAAGGCTTGTTTTGAGCAGATGGAGGTCAAAGGTAAGATTGTTTCCAGATTTTAAAAAGGTGGGATTGTTTTGAGCAGAAATAGCAAAGGTGGAATTATTAGTTTCCATTTTCCTAAAAAAAATAAAATAAAATAAAATTGATGAACCACAATAACTTCAAAATAAATTTCCATGTGACAAAATTCAAACCAGCGAATCTCTCCTATATCTTTACTCTCCAATTTTCACACCAACAATAACATGTTAAAATTGTTAATTTAACAAAATCTAAGGTCAGGACTCACAATCGTAATTAAGGCCCTATCTTCACCTTAATTTTGCTAAACTAAAATTATTTTTACTGAATTGAAATTATTTTTGCTGAACTTAAATTAATTTTACTGAATTGAAAATATTTTTGCTTAACTGAAATTATTTTTGCTGATTTTCTATTATAATTCTTCTTTAAGAAAACTGAATTTTACTGAACTGAACTTATTTTTACTGAACTAAAATTATTTTTACTGAACTGAAATTAATTTTACTGAACTGATCTTATTTTTATTGAAATAAAATTATTTTACTTAATATTTTTTTTTAAGGTGAACAGAACATGCCCTAACATTTAATCCAATCTAATCTAATCCAACCCAACTTGATTCGATACGACTTGACCTTAACATGATATTAATAGGGTCCCAACTCACCCAAGTAAACCCTAACCTTACCAATTAAGGAATACCCTTCAAAAAAAGGGAGAATAAAAAGAATCTAATGAGTCATATGGACAGAAATTTTCACCCCTTAATTATTCCACTCTTTCTCTCTCCTCCCAATGATTCAATCAAAGGGCAAAATTGTCATTTCAATCAAACCACGTCCACTCCCCCTAGCCAAAAATAAATGGCCCCCACATCTTTTTTAATTTTTTTTGACGTACTATTTTAATTTATAATCCCCCCTTCCTATCTTCCAATCAAATACCCAAAAATTTCAACATAATCAAAACACCTCCTTTTTTCTTTCTTCTTTCTTCTTCTTCCTTTTGCTCTGTTCTTCATTTTTTCCCCAGAAAAATCACAACTTTTACAGAAATTCAACTGATTTTCTCTCTCCTCCATTTTGAAGCTCCTTGTACTGAGTGATGGGGGTGCGAATTCCGGGTTCTCACACTTCCCACATCACTGAACTCATCATAACCAGCTTTTTCCGTCATAAGCTCTGAAAATCCCTTCATCTTCATCTTCTTCTTCTTCCCCCCATCAAATTGAAATTTCCAGATTCATCTTAGAACCCTTTAATTAATCGATCATGGTTTCTTAGAATTCCCAAGTTTTTTAGCTAAATTCTTACTTAGAAGGCAGAAGTTATGGCGGGCGCCGGTGTTGGAAGGGTCTTTGGTGGTGGTTCTTCCGGCGGTGTTGGTGTTGGAGCTTCTTTGCTGTTTAATCCGAGGCTACCTCGTTCTTCTCAGTCTCCCGAATCACTTTTCATTTCTGGGTCTACCTCTAATTTTCTGGGTATATCTTCTTTCTCCTTTGCCTTCCAACTGTTTGTTGAAATGCCTGTATGAGAGTTTTGATTGATTTTGATTTTTTTATTTTCTGGATCTGATTTTTTGAGTTTTTTAATGAGATGGGTCTGTTTATTTTTATTAAATCAAGATTATGATATTGTTAATTATGATCTATTTGATTGTTGTATGACTATTTTGGATTAAGGGAACAAAAACCTGATCTATGATGCTTTATGGCAGAAAGATAACAATGATGCTCTGCTTTTTGTTCCTGCTTCTGAGCTGTTTACTGAGTTATTATTAGTTTTATTTAATTTTATATACTTTCTCTGAAATTTTCTTGTCTCGGGGGTTTGATTTATGTCACGTTATTTCTCATACTGTACTTGTTCTTCGAAAGTCAACATCTTGTTTATCTGATCAATTTTAGTCCTTAAAAAAAGTTAAATTTAGTAAGGAACTTGGTCAACTTTGGGTTGTGTGTGTACATAATTATTATGAATAGACGGAATTCGATCTCATGTCTTTAGTGCCGCCCCCCAATATGCTTGGAATTTGATCATTACCTTTGTTTGAGTGTTTTATATTTGTGGTTTGTTGTTTGATAATTATTAGCAATAGGCTATTTTTGGAAAGGTAGTTGTGCTCCCACTTTGTCATACTACACCAAAAATGGGCCAATTTGTTTTGATGGACCATATATGGAATTATTGAGATGTGATCTGAATGACTGAATTCATATTATTTGTGATGATGTTTATTATTAGGTTCGAGCTCCATGGTTAGTTTCGAAGATGTTTGTGGAGGAAAAAGGTCAGAGAGGCCATTCTTTTGCACATATGATCAAGAAGAGAATGGTGATGAGGATTACGACGATTACTTTCATCAGCCAGAGAAGAAACGGCGACTGACAGTTGAGCAAGTCCAGTTCTTGGAAAAGAGCTTCGAGGTTGAGAACAAGCTTGAACCTGAGAGGAAAGTTCAGCTAGCCAAGGACCTTGGCTTGCAGCCGCGGCAAGTTGCTATTTGGTTCCAGAACCGAAGAGCTAGGTGGAAGACTAAGCAACTAGAGAAAGATTTTGACAGTTTGCAGTCCAACTTTAACAACCTGAAGGCTGATTATGAGAATCTTCTTCAGGAAAAGGAGAAACTTCAAGCTGAGGTATCTAATCCTGTTAACCTTGACATATTCTTAGCTAGATATTTTCTTGCAAGATTCGTATGATCAACTTTACAATAAGTTTGAGGTAACTAAGTTTAGTTATGATAAGTTGCTACCCAAGTTCAATCCACAACTAAATTAAGCTTTCCTTTCGGAATTTAATTTGACATGATTAGCAGTTAACACTATGAATGATAATAACTTTTTTCATTGCTGTCATTGATTGCAGGTTGTTAATCTGACAGACAAGCTGCTTCTGAAGGAGAAAACGGAGGGAGATCAACCCGAATCACCCAAAACATACGCAGCATCCAAAACAGTCCAAGAAGAACCCGTTATTGAATCTGCTTCTGAGAGTGAGGATCACCTTGCACCAGTCTTTGGCTGCAAACAGGAAGACCTGAGCTCTGGTAAGAGCGATATAATCGACTCTGATAGCCCACACTATGTGGATGTTAGCCACTCTCCCTTCGGCGAGCCTGGTGATTCCTATGCTTTTGAAGCAGACCACTCTGATATATCTCAAGATGATGAAGACTACTTGAGCAAGAGCCTTCTGCCTTCTTCCCATGTCTTCTTGAAGATCGGGGATGTCGATTATCCCGGCCCGCCTGCCACCAGCTCTTGCAACAACTATGGGCTTCCTGGAGATGATCAACCTTCTCCTCTCTTCTGGCCATACTGGGATATCAACCTGAAAATGTAATAAATCTACTTATAAATACTATACATATATATATGATATATTCATACCACATATATATCATGATAAGTTGAGAGAGTGTGCAACTCACTTAAGAATTCAATCATTTGCACCCCTCTTCAATTGTGGTTTGAAAAATTGTCTTTTTTTTTTCTTTTTTTTTTTTGGAATTATTACCATCTTTTGGTGATCCCCTTTTATGTAATCTTGCTTTTGTTGGAGGGGATTGACTCTCTTATCTTTTGATTTTCTTTTTTTGAGCTCACTGAACTTTACCTTAAAGTTAAGTATGTGATTAAATAAGATTGCTTATTTATATATTTTAATTAATCAAGATTGCTTGCTTACTTGCAGAAAAGGTTAGATAATCAAATATAATATCTGATCCATAGCTTTTGATGTTAAATTAGAATTAATGATCTCGAGGTTGATGCTAAGATTAGCTGGATTATATATTTATATATACTTTATGGTTGTGTTTTATGATTAACTTTTATTAATATCTTTGCTAAACGGCTCCTTTAGTATCCTGTTCCCCATTAAGAAGAATTTGGAATATTAATGAATTTACAGAGTCAATTTGTACCATCTTTAGTCGTGTGCTCCAAAACCAATTGACATGAAATTATTCGGTGATTATTTGTATTGTAACGTGCGACTAACAATGTACATGAATCGTGTGAAAGTTTTTCATTATACGGAATACGTTCTCTTTTTTACAATTATAATACAAAGTATAACGATACGAGTACTAGGTTAGGGATTGACACCAATCTTAACTTCCGCATTATTTATATATATATATATATTTTTTTTTTGACAAGACAAGCTGAGAAAAAACTACTTCAAACAAAACCAAGAAACAGAAAACTTAAAAAGACCAAAACAAAAAAAGGCGCTGTCGAGCTTTGGTAGCCAACCAATGAGCTGGAGCAACCCACTGACGAGGAACCTTGCGAAGTTCGCAGGCCGAAAGTCTGGAGATGACATCCTTAACATCTTGTAGAAGCCATAAGCAGGAAATGTCCACACTACTTTTACCTTGAAGAAAAGATACCAAACTCGAGCAGTCCGTGTAAATCAAAATCCGACAAAACCCCCGTCGTTCAGCTATTCGAAGAGCCCAAAGACAAGCCTGTAATTCTGAGTGAACAGCAGAGGAAGAGAAAAATGCTCTTGAACCCCTTCCGATGATCAAATCTGAAGTAGTGTATCTAAAAATCCAACCCGCTCCTGCAGTTTGATCCTGTGACTTGAAAGCACCATCAAAAATCAAAGTAATATCATAATCTAACCCAACAGAACCATTAAGACAAAGAGAGAGAGGAACTGGACTTGGAGAAGTAGTAGAACGAGAACTAGATAAACGGATAGAAGTTTTGAAATCAAACGCAGCCATGCTTCGAGAAACCCAATCTTGCATAAAGAAGAGAACCAAATCCGGAGAAATCACAGCTTGACGAAATACCTTATGATTCCGAGCAATCCAAATAGCCCAAAGGAAAGAAAACAGATAGACCAAAATCTCCCATGATTTCGAAACTTGCAAGAAAACCACCAGTTCAACAAACCAGACGGAGAACCGCTTATCCCGAGCCATCGGAAGAGACAAAAAGTGATGAACCGAACCCCAGAGAGAGGAGACAAATGGACAGTCTCGAAACAAATGATCAACAGTTTCGAAACTTCCGCATTATATACTACTCATAGAAAAGAGAGATGGTTAACACATAATTCGGATGGTCTCGAGCTTATAATAGTCTAAACAGCTACAAATCTTATTTCTAGAGGACTTATTTTGCAAATTTTTGAAAGGGATTGAACTTGATAGGTTCCCATACATATCTCACATTGTCATATAATTGTATCTTAATTAAAACAATGCTAATTATTTCATTAAGTGGCAATTAGTGTGGCCTCATAGATTAATATTGGCCCTTTTCCGTATTAACCAAGCTTATTCTAGATTTAATTTCTTGAGAAAAGATAAGTCTTTCTAATGACATATTGTAATTTCTATTGTATTGCGGAGTATAAAGGTTAATTAAATACTCCAAGTCAACCTTGGTTTAAAATAAATAAGATGACATGTACATCCATTTGTAGCCACAAATATGCTACATCTTACCTAGTCACCCTTACAGCTTACACGTGTGTTTAAAAATTTATAAAGATGTATAAATTATGTTATAATTAGTAATTTAGCTAGGATAACCAACTACCTTGATTTTCAAACAAATTAACAACGTATCAAATTATTATTTCTTGTTTACTTGGTCGACTTGAGAATTTTATACTTCAATTAAAATAATAACTTGTATCTTACCTTATGTCAATTAACAAACTAATTGTCAACTAAAGAGTAAATACTAGTGAAGTAAATGCTTAATATTTTGTTGATCAAGAAACGTTAACTAATATATATGATAGAATATTATTATGAATTCAATTGTGGAATATTAACCAAAAACTTCATTTTTCAGTTGAGTTGATCCTTTGATATGGTATAAATTAAAGTATCAATTTTCGGCGGGTAATCGTTTATCTATCATTGGTAAATATTGTAAAAAAAAAAATTAAGGAACCAATCATGATATTTCAACCATCATTCAGTCTATGTCCCTCATTTGACATAAAAAATCTACTTCATATATTTTTCAAACAAAAAAACATAAAGACACCTACTATACGTGCAGTTCGACCTGTTAGAATGTAAATTAGAGTTGAATAAAGTTATTGTGAAAGGTGGTGATTCAATTTGTCTACACTTTAAATTCGTATTTAAATTTATGTTCAAATAGTATTTCAGTCCAAAATAAAATTAAAAATAATAATAAGTTGGTACGTGTACATAACAAATAAGATTATAAGAAAAGTAAGGTGGAAGATGATGAAGAAGAGACATGCTTAAATAGTTTAATTAAAAGGTGAGCTATCCTTTGGAGAAATCAGAAGGTAGTTGGGTTACGCAATAATAAGTTAAGCTATAGATGCGACGAACTATTGCGCATTTTTAAGTCACATTCAAAGTGTTTGCCCTATCAATTTATGTATGGATGCTACTGCTGATATCGACGTCCACCATTAATTTTTATTTCTTTTTCTTCTTTTATTTTTCTTTTTATGAAAAGGAAATCACATTAAATCATATATATATTGGCAATTTTAATAAGATATTTGAGGTGATTTTTTACTAAGAATATTTATATTGTGAGGTTGTGATAGTTTTGTATTTTCAAAGGTGATTGCTTTATTGTATAAATAACTTGCAAGTCTCATTTACATATATGGTTTTCTTTAGTACGTAATATGAATGACATACTTAAACCTACTTCGTTATCGTGATTTTTGTATTCTAATCTTAGCTTATCAAATGTTTAGAAACATGATGAAAGGATAAGATATATAAGCGGGATCTTATATGGAGGAGTTAATCCCTACAAATATAAGCTTATATACTATATAAGAACATTAATTTTACAAGGTTGAATGTTTACTAGCTGTTTTTTCTCATACTACGTAGTATATAACTTAGGGCCTGTTCTCTTACGTTGAAATTCAATTCAGTTCAGTTCAGCTCAGTTCAGTTCAGTTCAGTTCAGTCCAGCTCCTAATTTCCTTCTTTTATAAAATATTCATTTCAATTCAGTTCAGTTCAGTTCAGTTCAGCTCAATTCAGTTCGGTTCAGTCCAGCTGAGTTCAGTCAATGAGAACAGGCCCTTAGTTGAATATTTGCTTTGCTATAGTTTTCATTTGAATAACAGAATAACAATAAATCGAATCATAATGACTTTTTTTTTTTATTATTTTTTATTTATTAAAGTGTAAGGAAAATGACCATGACCTGACCAAACAAACTTTAACTCTTAAACTTTTTTGGTCTATTATTTGTGAGATAGACAATTTGAGAGTAAGGAGAAAAGGTAAGCGATACCCACAAGTCTACAACCCACCCTTAAAATTTTCCTAGTGGAGATTAAACTTGCTTTCAGCCTTTAAGTTAAAATGTGCAATATTTTTCAACACTAAACAAGCTTTGCTTGGTTGTAGGTAGAATCAAATTACTCATATAAAAAACTGCAAAAAGGTACTTTTTCTGTTTTTTTTTTAAAAATACATCACTTTGATTTTTGCATTATTCATAAACCATGGTTGACTTAATTTTTTCACCTCTATAAAATAAATAAATGTTATTATATGATATATTATTAGATTCTTTATAATGTCTAGATTCATAATATAATTTTTTACTAATTAACAATTAAAGATATTAATGGTCAAAGTTGTGTCTCGACAAATATACCGGTCAAACTGATGCAAGTAAAAAAAAAAAAAAAAAAAAACAGAGGGAGTAATAAAAAAAAATAAACACTAATGTGTTAATGGTCTTATCTATAAATTATTTAATTGTGTATGAAGAATTAAATAACAGATTCGATTCTTTTTCTTGCTCTGCTCCTTACATACAACATCTTCGCCTACCACCAACACCGGCCTACTCATTTTTTTCATAGCAAATTAGTTTATTCATATTTAAAAAAAAAAAAAATCTGCTATGATTTTATGAAGTAGTTACATACTTTAGTTTTAAACGAACACACCGCAGCTTGTGAATACATTTATGCCTTGTTTTTATATCTTGCAATCTTGCATCATTATTAATTTTTAGTAAGATAAACGGCAATTTGCCTCAACACTAGTTGTAGTTTTATAACTGTTACTTTATATATGAATATTGAATGAAAGGTATTAAGCAAGCTCGATCATGAGCCAACTGATCTGTTGATGCTAAACTCTAATTCAATGATGTGTTTATTTACACATAATTTAAAACATGGAAAAATATGATTGTACAATACTAAACTCACAATAAACCATTAAACTTTGTCCAACTTTTTTTTTTATTTTTATTTTTATTTTTATTTTTATTTTTATTTTTTGGGTTTAGTTTCTATCATTTACTTTGGGATTTTCCTAATTTAAAAATGATTTTTTGGGAGATCGAAATTGGGGTTGTTTAACAAAATTGTAAAAACTCAAGTCCGAGCCTAAGGCTAGCTCATAAATTTGTATTTGTTCTAAATTGAAATCGTAATTTGTTCAATTGCATATCCTAGGTTTAGAGGAAAATATGACTCAATTGCAACGAACTCTTCAATATGTTAACCGTATGAAATTCAAATTATTCATGAAGAGACAAACAAGCTCATCATCAATCAAAGTTTCAATTCAAAAGTATTCAAGTCAAAG